TCCTCCTCCTCCTCCTCCTCCTCATCATCATCATCATCATCATCATCAGCATCATCATCATCATCATCATCATCATCATCAGCATCATCATCATCATCATCATCCCCCCGCCCCCCCTACACCCTTGCCGCTGATATCCGCGGCGGCCGCTCCGAGGAGCGGGCACGGCGCCCACAGCCCTGGGGCCATCGACGAGGTCGAGCTGCAGGCACCTGCCCCCGCCGTCGGTGGCAACTCACGGGATCCCCCCACACCAGCTGGTTGGCTCTTGCGCATCGACGCTGCTCGACGCAGCTCGACGCTGAACTCGGCGCCACATCGACGCCAATCGACGCTAAATCGGCGCCACCCCATCGACTGGCACGCGCAAATCGACGCCGGTGCGCTCCACCGACGGAGCTACGAGGGCATACGGCGGGTCAGAGGGAGGGAAAGGCACCCACACCGTATACCCTTGCCTTCTTTTCGCCTTCTGGGCGAGAACCCGGCAAGGGTACCTTCTGGTTTCCCCAACGAGGCTCCCATGGCTTGCCACCGAGCCCAGACCCCCCCCCCCAGAGGGGGGCCCAGCGAGGCTCAGCGCGCGCCTCGGGCGGGGGGGTCTTCTCAAAGGGGGTGGGGCTTCTCGGGGAAGGGGGGCTTCTCGAGGTCTCCTGCCCTCAGATCTGGGCGTTGCACTTTTTCACTCTGGGCGTCCTCGCCTCGCTTCTCGGGCGCCGGGGCCATCACTGATCGCTCCAGCTCGAGAGAGGAGGCAGAAAGATGGGGTCCGGGGCTCCCGTCGCGACGTTTGGGGATGCTGCAAGCGAATGCTGGGGAAGCCAAGAGGTACCGATATCGCCACTCCCGGACATCTCCTTGGGTCCCTGGGTGCGTTCTAACCAGGATTTCTAGGCGGATCCAGCGGTGACGACGGGGGCCTCCCAGAGGCCCAACATGGATGAAAACGAGGCAGGGGTTGCGGTATGGGTACCTTTCCCTCCTCCGAATGTTGCAGTGGACTGCGACGTCAGATCTCAGGGTCCTGCTCCGTCTTTGCCTCCCTCCTCCTGGCGCTCCTCCACCATCTCGCAGCCCCTCCCCCTCGTCCCCCCCACTCCACGTCCTGCCTCCTCGTCCTCCTCCTCCTCCGCCTCCGCCTCCCCGTCATCCACATCCTATCCGCTCTCCTCCTCGATCTCCTCATCCTGCGCACCCCCCTTAGAGAGGGGGAAGAATAATCATAAGCATAACCTATTGAGGCCCGCCCCAATTTCTTGGATCCGCGCTGGACCCTTCGCCGTGGCGCGCGGAACGCGCCAGGAGCTATCCCGTCCTCCTCCCTGCTTCTCCCTCCGTCCCTCTGCCTTGCGGACTCCTCCCAGCCTAAGAAAACCCTCGCGCGCTCTTCTGGGCCGTAAGTGCATGGGTCGGGAAGCCTGTCCCCCTACCAGGGGCGCCTAATTTCACACTTCGCACTGCGCGAAGCGCGAGTAAGCTTCGCGCTCTCGCGCCGCCCCCCAGGGGTCACGAGGATGAGGAATCGGAGCCGAACCGCGAAGAGCGAAAAACTTCGCGGCCTCGAGAGCGCCCTTGCTTACGTGCTCCGAGATGGCCCCAAGTGATCCGTCTTGAGCTCGTTTCCGAGGGCTCGTGGGCCGTCTCAGGGATCATGGAGGCCTGATCCGAAGGCCACCACTGTTGGTCGTAAGATGTTTATACTTCTCTCGACTGTGCGGCCTCCTGAGCTCCCATGGAAGCCTGGCTGTCAGGCTGACAGGGTCGCCACCGCCCACGAGGCCCCAAGAGGAACCCACGAGGGCCCCCACAGAAGCCCCCAAAGGCGCGCCGCCAACAGAGCCGATGAGCACTGCACCTCGAGGTGGCCCCGAGAGGCTCTACCAGGCCCAAAAGAGGCCCACACACACACACACAAAGAAGCCCCAGTACTCCCCCAACAACGTCCCACGGCTTCCTTCACCTACGACTCCACACGGTGGCGGGACAGGACGAAGAAGGGGATCCGTCGCCCCACCTAAGTCGCTTTCGGTTTAGGTATTACTGAAACCTCTCCAAGGGCCCGGCTCAAGACAGTTCCCAGATGACATCGGAGTCCCAAGAGGGTGCCCAAAGGGTTCCCAGGCGCCAAGCCGACCCCAAGACGGCCCCGGGAAGGTCCAAGAGGGCATCTGGAGGGGCCCAAGACGGCCCGAGAGATCCCCAAGGCGAAAGACAGCCCAACACTGCCACAGGATGCCCCCGAGACGACACAGACACCTCGAAGACATCCCAGGGGGGAGACGGCCCGAGAAGGCCACGTTCCGAAAGCGCCCCAAGGTGGCCCCAGGACGGTCCAGGAGGCACGACGGCCAAAAGGGAAGAGGCCAAGACGGACAACGAGTCCCCGAGGCCAGTCCACGAGGCCGAAAGGCCTCCGATAGGGGACTTTTCGACCACGGGGGGTGGCAGTGACTCGCCAAAGGCGTCTTCGACACGAAGATGGCGGGGAGCTCCTAACGGCGGCCACAAACGCCCTCGCTCCTGGCAAGTGGAAGATCTCTGGACAGGATTTCCGCTGCGGAGGCGAAGCAGTACTCCTTCGCCAAGGCGGGCATGACGATACGCACTGCAAAAAAACACGGATGTCCTCAATGGACTCCGCGGAACTATCTCTGATGCAGACCCGCTGTCGAAGATCACAATGGCCGAGAAGGCAGCATGCCAGCACTCAGCGTCGAAGCAGGAGGAGGGATACAAGGAGGAGTGGGATGGAGACGACCAGGACGATGTTGCTGCGGGGAAGTTCTTTTTTACCAAGGCGCGTGGATAATCATGGAGTTGCACCAAGAGTCGCCAGGAATGGCGGCTCGAGCTCTCGAGGGTAGGACACTTCCCCCGATGATCGCAATGAGCTCCGCATGAGGATGAAGATGAGGAGAGGGAGGCGGAAGAGGCGGGGAAGACGGAGGAATGGTCAGAGAATGGCGGAAGGAGCACGGGAGGGAGAGAAAGAGGAGGAGGAACAGGAGGAGACGGGGAAGACTCGGAAGAGGATGAGCAAACGATGGCGACGGGAAGGGGGATGAGGAGCGACAATAGTGAGCGGTGTGGAAGGATTGGATGCGAGAAGAAAAAGAGGGATGAGGAGGAGCTGAGGGTGGGGAAAAACTAGGAGAAGTATACGTAAGCGAAGAGGCAAACTTGAACCCCGTTCTGCATAAACAACGCGTCGCGGACATAGTTAGGTGGCCTGCATATTTCCCCGCAGCTAGTGACTTAACGTTTGCCTGCCCTATCCAAGACCCAATCCCCGTCCTGTCAATGCTGCCGAGGGATCAGCAGTGGAAAGGGCACTCCCCTTTCCTTGACCTCCGAGACTCGCGAGAATCCCTGGTTCATAGCCGAGGGAACAACTGGCTCGATATCAACGGACAAAATTGCTTTGGGCAAGCACGTGGCAACTGTACCCCACTTTAACGAATTCAAGCTGCAAAAACATGGCAGCCGCGGCAAATACGCCACTGCCTGCGAGACATAGCTAAATGTGCTGCTCCCAGCTGACGGCGGAACTCTAATCGTGGTGCTTCGATTTCGTGCCTCCTGTTTTTTCGGCCTCACAGCTGGGTGCAACTGTCTCTGACAGATGGCGGTGGACTATTCATGGTCGCAACGTCCGACCCCTGATAAGTTGAGGCAGGCTAAAAAGCAGCCCCTCTCTGCATCAAACCTGCCCCCCCAGACTTGTCGGGTCAGGCGAAAGGGGGGGATAGCAAAGGGGGGGTTTGAGAATCAGCTCGCGTAGCTGATTTTCCAAGGGCCTCCGAGCGCCGGAGGCGGCTATGTATCGAGGGATGGGCCTGGCGGCGGGGCCGGAACCAGCTGCATGCAGCAAATTTCGTACCCCCCCCTTTCCCAATCCCCCCCTTTCGCCCGGCCCGAACTTGGTATCATGACAAGAGAAGAACAAAACATGGCACAAACACGACTGCTCCGGGATCCGGGCGGGCGTCTTGTATCGGCGAACGACCCTCCTTCCTGGCGCGCGGGCCGCGCAAAGGGGGGCACCATTCCGCGCGGACCTCCGCAAGTTTACGCTTATGCATGCTGTTGCTCGTGTTGGCGATGTTTGAGCGGCATGTTCTTGCGGAAGTACGCCCATATGCACGTCGCCGTTTGTTACTCGAGAGACGACGACTCCTGCTCCCTCCCCTGGACACGCGCAGCCCCCCGTACGTATGGCGGAGGTGGCGCCTCACTCCGAAGCGAGCGCTCGTCGCTGCGCCACTGCAGGCGATCTGCGGCCTGGAACGCCCACAGGACAAATAGGACAAGCCACGGCCCAGCACGTCGCATCGCTCAACCTCGCCCCTACATCAGAAGAAGAAGAAGAAAAGACTGCACCAACATACGCTCTCGGAGGTCCGCGCGGATTGCTGGGGCCGGCGCCGGAGGCGCCACCAGGGGGCTCCAGCGCCGACCCGACAAGTCCGCGCGGCCCTCCGAAGACGTGTCTGCGTAAGCTCTTCTCTTCTTCGAGGCCCGCCCCCACAGAACAAGCTAATGGATCACGAGCGCGCGCCTTCCGCACGCCAAGAACGCCTGCGCACAAGAGCGGCCCCGGGCAGGAGTGACCTTTGGCACGCGGCTTTCGTGGGCCACGGGAGGCCAGGTGCAAGCAGGCAGACCCCTGCAGGGGCCACCCGCACCAAAGGTCACCCCGGCGAAAGGCTCGGTGGCAACTCATGGCAGCCTCACATGCCATCTTGCCTGCACTCGCGAATCGACGCTGAATCGACGCCGATCGACGCCAAAGGACGCCAGCCTGGGGCCATCTCGTCGATGACCAGACACTGGTCGACGCTGGCCGACGTCAAGAACGGAATTCACAGAGGGCACACGAGGCTCCCAAGACCAAGATCTGCTATACTGAAGAAAGGCCACTTGCACGCGCGGGCGACACGAGGTGACGGCGAGCACACTCTCGCCGCCACCCCCCGGGGATCCCGGGGAGGTAATTTGCCTCACCGCAGGAGCTCCGCGTGCACGCCGTGGGGCCCCAGGCGTGGCGCACGGGCGCCCACGACCTGGTGGGCCGCGCGGCGGTCGGGGAGCCGGCCCGCCTCTCCGCGGGGGTCGGGCTCGGCCAGGCCCGCCTCCGGCGTCGGGCGCGCGAGGCTGTCGCGGCGCAGGGCGGCCGGGCTCGCCGGCGGTGCTTCCGCAGGGCGAGGCTCCGCGTCGGTCGGCGGTGGCTGCCAGTCCAGTCGCAGGGTCCTCGGGACGCCCTCGTGGCCCACCGCCGCCCTCAGGAGGGAGCGGAGGCGGCGGTAGTCTGGCCGCTCCTCGAAGCCAAGGCCGCGGCAGTAGGTGACGTAGGCCTCTATCTCGCGCGGGAGGCCCCCGCACAGCGTGGCGGCGGCGATGCCGGCCTTGGCCGCCGCTATCTTCGTCATGCGCTCCTCTGAGCTGATGGCGTCCAGGCCCTGCCAGGGCAGGCGTCCCTTCAGGAACCACACCAGCAGGTAGCCCACGCATTCGAGATCGTCGCGCCTGCTAAGCTGCTGGCCCATGTGTGCGCGGAGGCTCGCATAGCGCGCGGTGCCTACCATGCACTTGCCAGACTCCTCCGGGATGTGCCGCATGGTCTGTGGATCCCTGAAACTCTTGGCACAACCAAAATCGAGAGCGTACACCTCGCTCGCACCGGCGATGGCCCCGTGACCAATGCAAAAATTGTCAGGCTTGACATCCCTATGCAAAAGGCCTGCGGAGTGCAACTCCTCCAGTCGGCTCACTATTTGTTCGGCCAGGGCTATGCTGGTCCTGAGACTGAAGGCCCCCCCACACTGCTTGTGAAGGTCCGCCAGAGAGGGCCCCAGCAAGTCCATCACGAGCACCTGATGGTCCCCATCGCGGCCGTACCAGTGGACCCGAGGGACCACCGCCGGGTGCTCGCCCAGCACCTGTAGAGGTAGGAAAAAACTATATAAACATAAACTCTTGCAGGCTCGCCGGGATCTCCTGGATCTGCACTCACCCCCCCTCCCTGGCGCGCGGAGCACGCCAGGAGGGGCCCAAAGCCGATCCAAGAAATCCGCACGGAGCGCCGAAGGATCATGTTCATGCCGTACAGTCGGGCTGTTGAAGTAAGGAACACTAAATAAGAAACGGAGCCCTTCTTGGGCACCACAAGTGCCTGGGTGCACGAGGAGGGCTAGCGGAACAACCACGGCATGGCCTGAGGAACAGCGAGACCCTTCCAAACCCAGAGCGGTCTTTATTCGGCGTCATGGCTGTAGTGCTGTAGCTGCCTCTTCGGACCTCGTACACCCTGGCCTCGTGCCAGAGTTGTGGGTACGGCGCCGAAGCCCGCTCCAGCTTGACGGCCACCTCGCCGACCAGCCATAACTGGGGGAGCTGTGGTCCCTACCCCCCTGGGGCAACCCATCGCCTCGACGATCTCTCGAGAGGGGTGCCGAAATCGATGGGTCCCCCAGGGGGGTAAGGACCACAGCTCCCCCAGTTGTGGCTGGCCTGCCTCGAGGCCGCTCCGGTCGTGCCTCGCGCTGTAGACGCTGCCGAACGACCCGGAGCCGATGCGGCGGCAGAGCCGGAACCTGCCCGCCACTGCGCGGCCCAGCAGCTCGTCCTGCCCCTCCGAAGGGGGGGGGGCAATAAGGGGTCTGCCAACGCGCTTGCAGCGGTTGGTGTGCGTTGGGCCCTCTCGCCCTTTGCGGAGCAGTGGGGCCCCCCGGCGAATCGAGCCCAAGATGTGGTCAGTGTTGTGGCCACGTCCCTGCGGTTCGGGCCTTCCAGGGGTGGGTATGTTTGTTTGTTTTGTTTTTAAAGCCCGACGAACAAACCAAAGGCGCCCAACCACCTGCACTAGGCAAACCTGGGACCACCTGAGGGCCAACCTGCAATAGGCGAGCCAACACGCGAGTCCTTGGCCAACGCACGTAAACGAAAGCAAGCGTAACCGCGGCAACATAACAAAGGTCGGGAAGGTCCGATGCCGCTACTCCCATGACCTCTCCAGGGGTGGTTTCTGACCAGGAGAGTTCAGCCGTGGAGACGAGAGCTCCCCAGGACGAGCAGCGACTCGAGTATTTTGGCACAGGCCTCTCATCTTCAGAACCCAGCGCTGAGCAAACGGCGCTCGGGGTGTGCACCGCTCCGGTCGTCGGTGTTCGCTGTTGCTCACCAGGCCTGGGCATTCAAACGTTAGCCTATGCGTAGTTGTCCGTGCCGTCGCCAGAGCGGGCAGGGTGGCAAAGGGAGGTCACGGGAGGCAGAGCCCTCGACGTGCACCTTCCGCACCTTCCGCACGTGAGGCGCTGCCGCCACGCGGCCGCGGCAGCGGCCGCGGCGGCGCTGCACCTGCCGCGCGGAAGGGGCGGAAGGTGCAGGTCGAGGGAAGCCAAGTCGGTGTCTTCTCGTCTCCTGGGCGGGCAAGATTTGTATACATATCCACTGCCTCTTGAAGTGTCGGGCTCCCCTCCCCAGAAACCAAAGGCGCAGTGGATGTGGACGCGCCTGGAGACTAAACGTCAATCCATGTCCACTGAGCCTCGGCCTTTTGTGACCGAGAAGAAACCGACGGCGTACGCAGATTCATGTTTCCTCCAGGGACCCTCGATCCGTTACCTTCGAGCGCGCCCGCTGGACGGTAACGCTGACCCCCTCCCCCCCGAGAGCCCGAATCCGCAAGCCAATCCACCCGTCTCAAGTACAACAAAAAAGACTGCAAAGTTCTTTAGAACTAACCACTTAGAAGAAACCACACAGAACGACCATTCATGAAGGAAACAACCGACTTCTTACGAATGAGGGCCAACAGTTATCTCAGTAAGGGCATTGCTCCCCACGCACCCCTGGCCAGTAAACACATTTTGCAAATGGTGAGTGCATCATCGCCGCCATGGGCTCCACCCACATGCTATTTCGTCCACATCCCCTTCTCGATGTAAGATCGCGCGAGGTATCGTTTGCAACGGGTCCTCCTGGCGCCCCTTCCCAAACAGTCCAAGACGCGGCGGGTACGGATACCAATCCTTCGTGTAGGAGACCGACTTCAGAACTTCTTTACCTCAAATTGACAATGTCGCCGAATCTGCAAAGAAATCGGGGGTCTGCTGGTACATCTACACACACGTTCTGCGCACGTTTCGCAGACTCGAAGAAAATTCGCCTGGCGAAGGATCCAACGAGCTCCCTATAGGGCCACGAAACGTGTGAGGGGTGTGCCAAAATTTGTCCGATGGGCGCATGCGAACGCAGCCACTGGGGCCGTCGGTGGAGCTCCCTGTCGTGAAACGTGTGAGGGGTGTGCCGAGATAGGTGCGGTGGGCGCATACGAACGCAGCCACTGGCGCCTTCGGTGGAGATCCGTGGGGCCACCAAACGTGTGAGGGATGTGCCGAGATGGTTGTGCGTGGCGCATGCGGCCGATGGCACTGGGGCCTTCGGTGGAGCTCCCTGTGGGGCCACGAAACGTGTGAGGGGTGCGCCGAAATGGGTGTGCGTGACGCATGCGGCCGGTGGCACTGGGGCCTTCGGTGGAGCTCCCTGTGGGGCCACGAAACGTGTGAGGGGTGTGCCGACATGGGTGTGCGTGACGCACGCGGGCGGTGGCACTGGAGCCTTCGGTGGAGTCCCCTTTATGGGGCCACGAAGAGGGGTGTGCTAAAGTGAGGGGGGTGACGGGAGGAGGGAGGAGGGGGAGGAGGAGGAGTGAGGGACGCGGGGCGCTGTCTCTTCAAAATCGACTCTGGTGCAAATCAACTCTCCCCGCCTGGAGCCCCGTCTGCGCTCCGCGCCGCGCGACAGAGGCGCGGACAGCTTCGCGCCTCGCGCCGCAGGCTGGAGAGCAGACCCACCCTCGGGCCCCGGCCGCCGAGCGCCACGGCGCGAACCTCGCCTGCACACCCGAACCTTGACTGGCCCCTGACCTGCAGGGCAGCCCGCCCCTCGCAGCCGCTCGCCGCCCCCTCGCGGAGGAGGAGGCCAAGGGGAGGAGGGAGGTCTCCTCCTCCTCCTCCTCCTCCTCCTCCTCCTCCTCCTCCTCCTCCTCCTCCTCCTCCTCCTCCTCCCCCCTCTCCTCCTCGCACGGCGGGGCCGCGCCGCCGGGCGCGGCGGCCTCGAGGCCGGGCGCGCCGCCGCGGCGGCCCGGCGGCCCGCCGTGCCCCTGCGGGCCGGCGTGCGCGGCCCGCTCGCGGGCGGGCGGCGCCGCCGCGCGGGCGGGCGCGGCGGCGTCGCGGCAGGGCGCCGCGCGGCAGCGGCCGGGCGCCGCCGCGGGCGCGCGGCCGCCGCGGCAGGCCCTCCACGGCCCGGGGCGGGCCGCCGCCGGCCGCGAGGCGGCGAGAGGCATCCGCTCGGGCAGGCCACAGCCACGGGGGGGCATCGAGGTCCCTCGACCTGCACCTGCCGCGCCTGCCCCGCGGAGGGTGCCGCCGCGAAGCGGCCGCGGCAGCGCTGCACCTGCCGCGCGGAAGGTGCGGAAGGTGCAGGTCGAAGCATGCGGCCGCGGCCTCCCTGCATGCTCTTTGCTGGCGCAAGAGGGGCCCAGTGGCAGAGATCAGGGAGACGAGAGAGGGAGGACGGCACGACAGGGGAGGACGCGGGGAGGGAAAAGCCTCGGATGCCGCCGAGGCCTCCTTGCATGCCCCCCCCGTCCGCTCCCAGACCTCCGACGGCATCGGCATAAAGTTTGACGCAGGCTTTTCGTCGTCTTCGGGCTCTTGGGGGCCTTCAACCAGCGACTCGGGATGAAAATGGCCCTGCAGCTCTCATCCAGGAGGTGCTCACTGAAATCCGCTGGGCAACCAAACCCCATCACTGGCGACCGCCGCCACGCGTGCGTCCAGGGTAAACAAAGGGCAAGGTGAACGAGGCGGAGGAAGAAACAGTTCAGCGGCAACTCTTTGAGAGCCTCTCATACCACCTTATTGGTTCTTGCGAATCGACGCTAATCGACGCTCGTCGACACGAATCGACTCTAAGTCGACACTAATCTAATCTGAATCGACGCTAATCGACACTACATCGACGCGTTCTCACTCATCACCAGGCGCGAACGAACGCAAATTCACTCTGAAGACGGAACCACGTAGGCATACATGGCTCCCATGGTTTGCTTCCGAAAGACGGGGCCGAGGAGACCAGTCCTCCGGGAAGCGGGTCGGGACTTCCAGGGGCCCCGTGGTCGGATGCCTGGGGCCGCGGCCTCCCCGGAGATCAGCCGCCCCAAGACACTTGCGGCATCGTGGTGAGCCGAAACCCGCCCTTCTGCGGCATCTCTCGGGACAGATCCGCGAAGGTCTGGACCTCTCCAGGCGCGCGTTCTGACCAGGAGCTCGAAGAGGGTCCAGCCGTGGCGGCGAGAGCCCTCCAGGACGAGCAGTGGCTCGAGCATTTCTTGGTACAGGCTTCTCGCACTCGGGGCCCGGCATTGAACAGAAATGGCGACCGAAGCGTGCACCGTCCCATGTGACAGCAGAAAGTGCGACGCCAAGTCCCCAGGGCCTTCGCGCCTCCAGAGGTCCGCAGGTCTCCGCTGCACGAGGCAGGCATCCAGGGGCCTCCAGGAGCAGTGAGTGCCAAGAGCGTCCAGAGAGCCTTGGGCCTCTAGCCTCGATCATCCTCCCTGCCCCTCCCAAGACGAAGCCAAGATCGGGAAAACATCGGATCCGGACAAAAGCGGGGATCTTTGAGAGCAGATGGGTCTGGAGGATGTTTCGGACGCCGCGGCCGTTTCAGAGCGCGTCGGAACGCTGTGGGAGCGTTATGGAACGCTCTGGAGCGATTTGTCCAGGTCCTGGGCCTGCGCGACCTCCGCCTCCTTTCAACCCCCTTGGGGGGCACCCCTGCTCCTGGGAGGTCTTTGCCAGCGCCCGATTGATTGAGCCCAGGGGATACCAGATCAGGCCCGATTCAGCAGGAGTGAGCCGCATGAGGCCAGACTGAGCGGGACGATAAGCCCGATGACAGGCTGGATGAAGACCGCGAAAATTCAAGAGACAACCCTGAATTCAACCTCCCAGGAATTGCAACCGCACCCTCAAGAGGGTGGGAGGGAACTCGTCTGTCACCGTGGTTTTGGCCATGCCCTGAATATGCGGCACTGCCCGGGTGAGCCCGCGCGACTGCTGCACTGCGGGAGCCCCAGGTTGCTCGTGGTCGCGCTCCTTCGACAGACTCCCACAGAGCCTGGGCCAAAATGGCTGTTCAGGATGAGATGCGGCGGCAGCAGGGTGAGCACGAGGAGATCGCCAGTCCACCAGCTCGCATCGTGCCCACGAGCACGCCTAACATGCTTGTGGTCTGTCGTTCATGCTTTCCATGTAATTCGCGGGGGGGCGACCACCCGCCCTCGACGAAGCAAACCTGGTCAATTCCGCCCATAGCTACCTGCTCCATCCGAGCATTCCTTTCCGCCTCAACGCCTCAAGACGAAACGAGGTGGGCCTCAACAGCAGATGGCCCCACGATCCTTCCAAGTGTCACCCAAGTTCTCCAAATGCCGCAAGAAAAACCGAAAAGGTCCAACAGCCCCCGGGAAGGCCTCGAAGAGGTTCCAAAGAGGCTCCGCATACGTCCTAAGCTTCCCCAAACAAGGCTGTCTTGGAGGCCCGTTGGAAGCGAGTGAACTGATCATCGGTGGTTCCTCGCGCCAAGATGCAGCAGCAATCACCAACGTCCTCCCAAGACCTGAGCGGTGGCTCTGAAAAGTCCACCAGACGGCCAAACATTTGGAAACTGGCAATGCGACCGCCCAAGATCCCCGCCGCAAGCAACCAAACGGAAGCACTCTAAGCCACCCACAGCCTCAAGACCGCCCCGAACAGCCATCAAGATCTTTAAAACTGCTATTCGGGGGCGAGCTCGATAGACAGATCGCGCTCAATATGGCCTCAAAGCGTCCAGGAAGGCTCACCAACACCACTTAGAAACACGGGAAGATCGTAGTAGGAACATTGTAGAACCATGTTCGGCAACATCTTGCAGAGCCGCCGCGATGACGGGTACCCCGCAGGCAGCTGGATAATCCAACAGCTAGACCGAACGAACACGACGACAGGGTGCGCGACAAGGCAGATATCCACGTGAACCATGCAATAATTCAACGAGCGCTGGGGCTCTATGCAATCAGCATGACCGATGCCAATTGGTAGAACAACGGCCGCAAGAACGTGGGACGAGAGCATGAGCACCTTCGCCGAGAGCACCAGACTCACTGGATATACTCAAAACGAAGAACGTTCCAAGGTGGAGAGCACGGACACGAAGAACATGAGGGTCCCCGTCCAAACTCAGGGTCAACATTCCACGCACGCCAGCTGCATGAGGATCGCGATGGTACAAAACCGCAAGGCAGCCAGCTACACTCAGAAGCGAGACTTGCTGTGGCTCTGCGGTGGGGAGCACTGCATGCAACGACAAAAAATGAGGCAAACAAGTGCGGTGCTACACATCCCGACCCCGGCTGAACCCAGTGGCGACGGTGACGCCCAAGGTTGGCAGAAGGTCGTCGTCCTCGCTTGCAGCGTACCAGCGAGACTGACCATCGGTGACGAAGACCCGCTGCCCGAGAGAAACGAATGCCTGACCGCCGTGGCAGCATGCCCGCAATAAGTCACGGCTGGGGGCGAGGGTGGCGTCGTGGCCCCCGAGAACCTGCAAAAGTCACCCCAACCCACAGCCAGGACCTTCTGGATCACCAGGTTGGGAGTGGGGGTCCTGGCTGGGGGTGGGTTGTGCTGTCCTCAGAGAAGCACTGCGCCCAGGCAGGCGCGAACGCCAAGACACTGACAGATCGAGAAAGAGATAGGGTGCAGCTCCGTGGTGCTAATATCGAGCACCACCGTGCGAGTCAAGAGCCACACCATAATGTCACACCACAGTGCCCAATCCAACCATTCCGAGCACAACGCACAAAGCAAAATGATTCTGCCCAAATGTTCAGTCTAAAACAGAGACCTCAACCCTCACGGAATAACGTGCCTGTCTTTTCCGCAACCCCCACTGGTCACACTGCCACCCCGACCCCCGAACGTACGGAGGGCATGGTGTGAAGCAACACATGCTCGCCCACGCCCGGCCCCCATTCCTCCACCTCCCTCCCGCGTGACGAGGGTGGGGAAGTGGACGAGCCGAGGAGAACCGGGGGCGCCCCAGTGTGGGGCGTCCGACAAGGGTGGTTCGCAGATCATCGCCCGAGGCAGGTGCGCGGCCGCCGGGGGGGGGGGGGGGCTCCTCGAAAGGAGCCGAGGCGCCACGAAATCGGGGGAGGCATCATGGACCCCCCCCGTGAGCTAACCACCCCCTCCTGGTGACCAGCCCCCCTCCTGGCAGCCCCCGAGAGGAGGGGGCGGGCCGAGGCGAGAGGGCGGTCCGGGGCGCCGCGGGCGCCCCGAGGGCCAGGGCGAGACGGGGCCCGCGCCCTTGGATGGGGGCTCCTGGGATGCAGTGTCCGGTCCGGGCACCCGTCCCTCTTGATCTCTCCCTTCTCCCATGCTCTTCTTCGTTTTCCCAGCCATCCTGTGGTGTTGCGTCCTCGTTTTGAAGAGACAGCGCCCTGCGTGCCTCTCCTCTCAGCCTCCCCCCCCCCTCCCGCTCCTGCATCCTCCCATCCCTTGCACCCCATACACGTGTCGTGGCCCCATGGGGAGCTCCACCGAAAGCCCCAATGGCAGGGTTCGAATGCGGCTCCACCCCCAGTCTGGCACACCCTTCACACGCTTCGTGGACCCATAGGGGGCTCCGCCGAAGGCTCCAGAGGCAGGTTTTGCATGTGGTTCCACCCCCCATTTCGACACCCCTCCCACGTCTCGTGGCCCCATGAAGAGCTCCATCGAAGACCCCAGTCGCAGGGCTTACTTTCGGCACACCCCTCATGTGCTTCGTAACCCCATGGGGAGCTCCACCGAAGGCTCCAGTGGCACTGTCCGCATGGCGCCCCCGTACCCGATTCGGCACACCCCTCACACGTGTCGGGGCCCCATTGAGAGCTCCGCCGAAGGCCCCAGTGGCAGGGCTCGCAGGCGGTTCCACCCCAAAAATCGGTATACCCCTCACCCATTTCGTGGCCCCGGAACTCCACCCGAAAGCCCCAGAGGCAGGGTTCGAACGCGGCTCCCCTCCTATTTCGGCACACCCCTCGCACGTTGCTCCGCCGAAGGCACCAGTGGCAGGGTTCGCATGCAGTTCCGCCCCCATCTCGGCACACCCCTGCGACGTCTCGGGGTCCCATGAGCTCCAACGAAGGCCCCAGAGGCAGGGTTCCGAAGGCCCCAATGGCACAACCGGCACGGCGTACCCACACCCGATCCGGCACACCCCTCACACGCTTCGTGGCCTCATGGGGAGCTCCACCGAAGGCTCCAGTGGCACTGTCCGCATGGCGTATCCACACCCGATTCGGCACGCCCCTCTCCTTTCAGGGTCCCGTGAGGAGCTCCACCGAAGGCCCCAGTCGCACTGTCCGCATGTCGCACCCGAACCCGATTCGACACAACCCTCACCCGTTTCGTGGCCTCCTGGGGAGCTCCACCGAAAGCCGCAGCGGCACAGCTGGCATGGCGTACCCAGACCCGATCCTGCACACCCCTCACACCTTTCGTGTATGGCGCCCCTGCACCCGATTCGGCACACCCCTCACCAGTTTCGTTGCCCCATACGGAGCTCCACCGAAGGCCCCAGCGGCACAGTCCGCATGTCGCACCCGCACCAGATCCGGCACACCCTTCACAGGTTTCGTGGCCCCATGAGGAGCTCCACCGAAGGCCCCCGCGGGACAGTCCGCATGTCGCACCCGCTCAAAATACGGCACACCTTCAAACGTTCCGTGGCCCACAGAGAGCTCCACCGATAAACGACACCCCAAACTGCGGTACATACAACTGCATACGGTTAGGTCCTTTGCCCAGAATAGTTGTCTGCGGGCAGGAGGAGATCAGGGAGGGGACGATCGAAGCATTTCAATGACGACGACGACGACGACGACCACGACCACGACCACGAGCAGGCCAGGCCCAAAAACCATTATCAGTCCTCGCCCTGGGCGCTGCTGTGTGGCACCGCCCCCCGGATTTTCTCTACCGTCACCCTGTACTGCTGCGACGCATCCCCCGCAAGTGATCGGGCAGGTGGGCTGCTGGTGCAGGGCTGTGACTCCCGTGCCCTGGCGGTGGTGCACAGATGCCTTCTGCGGGCAGCGGTGATCCTGCGCCATCAGCACTGACGTGCTGGAAGTTCTCCCTCATGCTAAACTCGATATGCCAGCCGCAGCCAGCTAGAGGCCTCGCAGATGGGATCGGAGCAGGTAAGGTCGGAGGATCGCGCGGCATCGTCGATGCATCACCGATGCATGGGCGATGCAAGGTCAATGCCTCGGCGACGTCGGCGATGCATTGGCGACGTCGACGTGGACAGAATCTGGCTCCACGTCGAGCCGCACCGCCGATGCGGCGCGACCCTGCGACCCCAGCTGCTCGGACCCCATCTGGGAAGCCCAGACCAGCACAAGTGTTGCACGCACGCTGGGGCCCGCGTTCCTGGAATCCATGCGCCAGCCGGCCATGGGGCAGGCTGCCCCTCCTCTCTCTTTCAAACGCCCGCCACGCCCTTCTCCCAATCACTGTCCTCCAGAGCTGATGCCGACGCTGTGACAGGGCGAGCGAGTGGAATGACGGGAGAGGGACGGGGCAAGCGTAACCAGCCTCGAGCTCATCCCGACCCCTAAGATGGACAAGCCACCAAAAGGCGACAACACTCTGAGGGATGCGCCATCGAAAACTGAGGGAATGCTCAACATTGGCATCGAGATGAGGAGATACAGTCATAGGGGTAGGGATATGTTCCAGGCTGGTAAAAGCGGGCGGGAGGAAGGGTCGAGAGGGAAGGAAGAACAACGGGGAGAAGGAGGGGGGGGGAGACGCCCAGCAGTCCCACGGCCCGCATCCTTCGTAACAGCGGGCCCCTGGACCTGCCCCCCAGGGCCGACTCTCCGCCTTTTCCTCTTCTTGATGGCACTGGGGCCTGCGCCGAAATTCGGCCTCCGGAGGCCCCAAACGGCGAAGAACCACCCGTTTCAACTGGGCGGTGCGAACAAGGGGCCAACGGGGGGAGGGGGAAGGCTTCTTAGGAGGAAGCTGCTTGTGAGAAGGCGCCGGCCCTACATCGATAGTTAACAGCCTCCTTCTGAGAAGCCTTCCCCCCTCCCCCCACCCTGGTCTGTGCGTGGCCGATCGATTCTCCTCCGAACCACCAGCTCTCAGGGCATGGACGGGGGCCCTGGGGCCGCTGCTTCGGGAGCAGCGGCGGAAACGGAGCACCAAGCTAGGGGAACAAACAAGGACAGAAACATAAAAACTCGGAGGTGTGCGCGGATTCCTCGGATCGGCACTGGAGCCCCCTGGCGGCGCCTCTGGCGCTGCCCCTCGCGCGCTCCGCGTGCCAGGGTAACAGGGTCCAGCTTTCGATCCGAGAAATCTGCGCGGACCTCCGAGTTTGTATGTTTATGTCATTGTCTGTTCCCCTCCATGCACCAAGGTCTAAGCAGACGCGAAACTCAAATTTGGAGGGACAGCAAAAAGCGTAGGCACTTGGCGGCGGTGCGGCCAGGGGGCCTGAACTGGTGGGGGCCCAGAAAAATCCATCAGGAGGGAGGACGAATCCAAATCGCTCAAAATCGGTCCCCGGACCCCTCCCGGGATCCACCCGGTGCAACTTTTCGTCCCGGATCCATGTCTTACGGCCCCGGGGCCCGAAAACTGCCCCAGAAGGCCGACACGGCAAAAACAACCTGCTCGTTCTCGAGTCCAGAACCTTGAACATGCCCTGCCTGCCAGCTGGCTGGAACCCAATGCAGGACCATCTGAGACCCCCAGCCGGCTCCAAGTAAGGACAACATATCAGAGGTTCGTGCGGATTCCTTGGGCCTGGCGCTGGACCCCCTTGCGAGAGCACCCCAAGATCTTCCAAGGAGCCGGGAAAGATGTGCTGCTGGATTCACGTGTGGACCCTGGGAGCGGATGCTGCTGGACCTGGGGAGCCGCGAGGACCCTGGGAACATGTGCCTCTGGATTCACATGTGACCATGTGGAAGCTACCTGCTGAGCGCAGACATCCGACGATGTGTTTGTTTCAGTGCCTGGCAGCAAGAGGTCCCGACGCCGCCTGGTTTTTCGTGCCCGATCCATGTCTGCTAGTCCCTGGGGCCCGATACACAGGGGAGCCCAGAATCCAACCGATAAGTCGGATCGGCGATCGAAATGAAGCGGATCGGCGGAAATCGGCAGCCGAGTCGGAAGACATCGGCGGAGATCGGCAGGCTGGCAGGCCTCCGCTGAGAAATCAGAATCGAATCGAATAGAATCGGAGGAATCGAAACGAACTCTGGATAACTCAGGATAGATGGGCCCCAGGGGTCGAGATCCAGGAAAAGACGGCGGGCCTGGAATCCCTCAGTATCGGGCGGGTGTTAAGGGGGGTGACCTAAATATGTAGCTCTCCCAGTATCGGGCGGCGGGGTCGTCGGAAGTCTCCGAGGCTCTGAAGAAACCTGCCGCAGGCTCATAATTTTTTACTACCTGTACAACGAGCGCGCCGCAGGCGCCAATTTTCTTATTAAAGCAATGTGGGTGAGCCGCGGGTGGGTCGCGGGTAGGTCGCGGGTCGGTCGCGGGCCGGGTCGCGGGTGGGTCGCATGCGGGTCGCGGGCCGGGTCGCGGGTGGGTCGCGGGTGGATCGTGGGGTGGATGGCGGGTGGGTGGCAGGTGGGTGGCGGGTGGGTCGCGGGTGGGTCGCGGGAGGGACGACGAAAAAAATACAACAAACAACAAACACCAAACAACGCAACAACAATCCGCACCGCAGAAGCTCACATCAGCCACGCGCTCAGGGACAGTGAATGACCGTTCGGCCCCCTCACTATGATTAGGGGAGAAGAAAGGGGCCCCACTCCCCATGTAGATCACACCCCTTAAGACCCGCCGTCCGAAGTCTGGGCTCTCGGGGAACCAAAAAAGGTGCAGATGTGCAGCGACGCCCCAGACATCTACCCAGGGGGCGCTCTGGATCGGATTTTCCTAGGCAAAGCACCAGTCATGGCGACGAGGGCCTTCCAGGAGGCCCCAGGAGGCCCCAGACAAGGGGAGAACAATAGGACTGGTAGGGGCATCGGTACCTTTACCTCCCTTTGGCTTCCAGAGGCCTCAGCCTCCCAGTAGCCTTAGCCTCCAAGATGGGCTTCATGTAGATGGCGTCGGAGGATCACGCCGCATCGCCAATGCATCGCCGATGCATCGGCGCCGTCGGCGTGGAGCAAATATGGTTTCACATCGAGGCACATCGTCGATGATTCGTCGATGCGGAACGATCCGTCGACCCCATCTGCTCGGACCCCATTTGGGAGCCCTAGAGCTTCTGCTGTCCCCGAAGGGTCGAAACATGACAGACATCGCAACACGGCCGCGACCGCCAGGATCGGCTACACGCAAGAGAGACCATGGGCAAGAGGGGCCTTTGGTGCCCGACTTTCGGGGGCCCCAGGAAAGCCGAGGTGGAGCGCACAAGTCGCTGCTACCGTATCGCATTCAGCCATCCGTGGACCCCAGAGTGCCTGTACCCCCAGTGCCCAGTGCCGTCGACACCCAAAGGTCTCGACCCATTCCTCAGGACAAGTGCTTCCACCTGACTCGTGTCTTTGCAGCGCCGAGGCCCGGTAGGCCACCCGAGGCCGAAAACAGCGAAACACCGTCCTCCATGATTTCTGCACGAATCGAGGGGGTCTGGACCAACGGTCACCAGTGTGCTCGCTATACAGTCGGACTTCATTGGACAGGACACGCGAGAGGACAGAAGACCCTTCCGAGGGCCGCACTGCCGTAAGGGCACAAGGGTACCCTTGATCTGGCAGGGTCGACCTACTCATCCAAGCCGACTGTAATGATCACTCCGGCGGATTGCCACTCTTACGTGCAGCCGCCAGGGGGTGGCGCTGCGCGACGGCAGGCCGCGCACCCGGGGCGGGCCACGCGCGAGGGTTCAAGGCCCAGCGCCCCGCGCCCGACGGGCCGCCGACTGAGGCGAGGCCCAGCTCCTCCTCCTCCTCCTCCTCCTCCTCCGCCTCCTCCTCCTCCTCCTCCTCCTCCTCCTCCTCCTCCTCCTCCTCCTCCTGCTCCTCCTGCTCCTGCTCCTGCTCCTCCTCCTCCTCCTCCTCCTCCCTCCTCCCTCCTCCTCCTCCTCCTCCTCCTCCTCCTCCTCCTCCTCCTCCTCCTTCTCTTCTCTAACTCTCTCTCTCTCTCTTTCTCTCCCTCCCTCCCTCCCTCTCTCTCTCTCTCTCTCTCTCTCTCTCTCTCTCTCTTCTCTCCCTATCTCCGCCTGCGGTCTCAGTGGGCACGACCGCACGCGGGCCCACGCCCATTTCGGCAGACCTCTCACGCGGATCGCGGACCAACAAGGAGCTCCACCTACGGCCACAGTGGGTACGTCCGCACATGGGCCAAAGCCAGAGGCCACCCATCACATGGGGTCCGAGTTGATGGGTCGGAGGACCGCGCTGCATCGCCGATGCACGGCCGTTGCATCGCCGACGTGGCGGGGCCGTCGGCGTGGAGAAACGCAGGCGCCACATCGAGCCGCATCTTCAATGCATCGGCGATGCGGGCGATCCCCCGACCCCATGCACTTCGACCCCGTTTGGGAAGCCCAGACTGGGGGACGCGGGAAAAGCGTGGAGTCTGGTTTGCTCGTCGTAGCCTCCGGAGGCCGTTTCCCAGCCCCGTCGCCGTTGATAAAGGGGCACAAGATGGAAAACTTGCCCGTGGGAAGCGGTAGAGACCCTGGGGGCTCACGCCACGAAAAAAGAGTACCACCTCGGAGGACAAGGCAGTTCGGTGCTCTGTCTGAACTGCCAAGACTTGGGCACCCCCTCCTTTCGGCGGCGACGATAAGGGCGAATAGCCCAGGGGCGGGCATTACACGTATTCGCCCGGGAGCCTTTTCGAAGACATAGATCATCGGCGCACCTGAATGCATGTATTGATCTCCCCTGGGCCATTCGCCCCTGTCGTCGCCTCTGATCCCTGCCAGCAGCAGTGCTCTCCTCCTCCTTCCCTTCTCCTCCTCGCTCCTCTCTGGCAGCCGCCTCTGCGGTTCCCAGCGTGGGCCGCCCCGCGCCAGACGCGCGCGGGGGCGGCCGGGGCCGGGGCAGGCCCACCCCCGCTCCCAGAGGGGGAGAGGGGGAAGAGAAAGACCACCCACTCTCCTCCCCCTTCCTCCCCCTCCTTGTTCCTCCTCTTCCTCCCCCCTCCTTCCCTCGCCGGCGCGCACACTGCAATGGCGCGAGGGGGGTCTCCCGAGACGGGGGGGGCATCAAAACTGCAAGCGGCTTCGTAGGAGCCCTGCCGAGTGCTCTAAGGAGCCCTCGTGGAGCGGCTTCTGAGAAGCCCTCTCGGGAGCCTCCAGGGAGAGGCCCCCGCCTACTCAAAGCCCCCCCGCCCTGTAACCAGGCAGCCCCCCTCGTGCAACCCTCCTACACGCGGTGGCAATTGCCTTCTCCCGCTCGCATTGTTCTGA